GTTTGGTAAGGTGGAGGGTCAGAAAAAAAGAAGAAGACCCCCAGTGAGATGGATTGGCAATATGGCAGAATCAGTAGGCTCAAGCATGGCAACAATTGTGAGGTTGGCCCAGGACCTGACATGTTTCGTTCTGTTGTGCATAGCGTTGCTATGAATTGGTACCGACTCGATGGCATCTAACAACATGGGCAAAATAATGAATGATGCAGAAAGCAACAAAAGAAGATGGAAGGAATACACAGAGTCAACAATGTACCAATAAGAAATGGTTGATATTCAAGCATTTTAAGAGGTAGCATATGATCAAGAGCCAGTGATCCTGAAGGAAGTAGTTCAGTGTGCATTGAAGTTACTGGCCAAGAACAAGGCACCGGGAATAGATGGAATACAAATTGTAATCTTTCAACAAACTGATGCAGTACTGGAGGCACTCATTCATCTATGTCAAGAAACATGGAAGACAACTACCTAATCAACTTACTGGAAATGATCTGTGTTTGTGCCCATTTCAAAGAGAGGTGATCCCATGTAATGCAGAAATCATCAGACAATATCATTGCTATTCCATGAGAGTCAAGTTTTACTAAAGGTAATACAAAAACGGCTGCAGTTATACATTGACAAAGAACTTCTAGAGGTTCAAGCCGGATTTAGAAGAGAACATAGAATGAGGGATATCCTTACTGGTGTCAGATGAATCTTGGCTGAAAACAGGGATTACCAGAAAGATGTCTACCTATGTTTTACTGACTACACAGAAACTTTAGAATGTGTGGATCATGACAAGCTATTGACAACATTGCAAAGTATGAGTATTCCGAACACTTAATTTTGCCATGATGAACCTGTACACATGCCAAGAACCAGTTGTTCAAACAGAACAAGGGAACACTGAAATAATTTAAAATTAGGAAAGATGTGTGCCAGGATTGTATTCTTTCACCGTACTTACTCAATCGGTATGCTGAGCAAATAATCCGAGAAACTGGATTATATGAAGAAAAACATGGCATCAGGATTGGAAGAAGACTCATTAATAACCTCTGATAATGCAGATGATACAACCTTGCTTGCTGAAAGTTAAGAAGACTTAAAATACTTACTGATGAAGATCGAAGGCCACAACCTTTGGTTTGGATTGCATTTCAATGTAAGGAAAACAAAAATCCACACCGCTGGACCAATAAACAACACCCATATCAATGAATAAAAGATAGAAGTTGTGTAAATATTCGTTTTGCTCAGATCCACAATCAATACTCATGGAAGCAGCAGTCAAGAAATCAAAGGACTTACTGCACTAATTAGGCAAATCTCTTTAAAGTGTTGAAGAGCAAAGATGTCAGTTTGAGGACTAACATGTGCCCGACCCAAGCAATGGTATTTTCAGTAACCTCATATGCATGTGAAAGTTGGACAGTGTATAAGGAAGACCATAGAACAATTGATGCATTTGAGTTAGGGTGTTACAGGAGAGTACTAAAAGTACCATGGACTGCCAAAAGAACAACAGATCTGTGTTGAAAAAAGTACAGCCAGATAATAATACTTCAGACATATTATCAGGAGGGACCAGTCACTGGAGAAGGATATCAGTTTTTTGGTAAAGTGGAGTGTTGCAGAAAAGGAGGAAGACCCTCATGATATAGATAGGCACTGTGGCAGAAGCAATGGTGTGAGGCATAGCAATGATTGTGAGGTTGGCCCAGAACTAACTGGGCAATGTTTCGTTCTCTTGTGCATAATGTCACTATGAGTCAGTACCGACTTGATGGCACTTAACAACAATAACAACAAAAATTGTAATTCTTATAACAACCTACAAAGTGTCTCCATTTTATAGATGAAATTGAGACTTTGAGAGTGGCACAGAGAACACAGGACTACAAGGTAACAGAGTCAGAAGTGAAGCCTCGTTATGTCTAGCTCCAAAGACTAAATCATGTAACTGTGCCATGTTACCTTTCTATCTTGTTCTGTTTTCATCCCAGTGTGAAAACAAAATACTTTTGCATGATTTCTTTCTTTCTTTTTTTTCCACAAGAGAGCACCTCCATAAATGTTTCAAAAGGGAAAGAAAAGCTTAATCAAAACTTGAGATGAGAAATGGGAAATGCATGAGGTTGGTTAATCAGTGACAGTAAATGTCTGACCTCTTCTCTAAGATAATTTTCCAAGTCATTTATTTGATCCAAAATTCCAAGTATATTTATTGATCCAAAGTCAATGTGTGAAACAGTGTCCTGGCTCTTTCTGTTGCTACTAAAGTTCTATTGTAGAGCCATAACTACAAAGGGGCTTCAAAAAAGTTTGTGGGGAAATTAAATGAAAAGAATTTTTCCACAGAGTTTTTGAAGCCCCTTTGTATCTCTTTGCTTCTTGATTTTCATATGTTTAGTTTACAGGATTTTTGGGTTTTGTGTGTGTGTGTGTGTGTGTATGGAGAGGGGTTGTTTTTTTTTAAATTGTTTTGTTTTGACCTGAATACAGACCAGATTGATTCCTCTAAAAGTATGCTTAATTACATTTCAGATGTATTTGCTGGCATTTATTTAATTTTATGTATTTAATTTTATATAGTTATTTGGATATAATTGCATTGGTTGTATATATTTATAATTTTAGAGCTGAACATCTTAAAATCCCTTATGTTTTAGAAGTTTTAGACTTGTTTTTTCAAGTCGTTAGGCTTATATTTGTTTCGGAATTCATTTCAAAGGAAGTGAATCTATACTAGGAAGACGCCCTTAGAATTTATTGAAGGTTTGCCATGCTATCTTCCTGCCAGCATCCTCTCCATGTTAAAAATAAATAGAACCTTTGAGAGATCCATCATCCGTAATCAAAGTTGAGACAAGTTACTTCAAACCTCTTTGGTGCATGGACAGTTTGGACTCCTGCTCAAAATACTTCACTGCTAGGGTCGACACAAATTAAAGACAGATTCTACAGTTCCTGAAAGTGTACACACTTAACAAGATACTAATGGTCAGAAATAACTGTGAAAACCAAATATTAATGTTTGTAACAATTGATAGCATCTCCTCTGATTAGTTACTAGAAGTTGTGAGAAATATGCCTAACCTTTCTGCCCACAAAACAGATTAAGTGAATTCCTACTTATTGTTGGTGGCAAAACAGTTGAATGTGTACTGATTGCATGTATTTGATTTTAGAAATGTTCGACTATGACGTTTCTAAAAATTTACCACTGCTGCAATTATTCATTTCATTGCCTTGAACTCTATTTGTTAGTGATGTCTTCGTAACTACTAAATCAAAATTAAGGATATGGCCTTAATATTCATCTAAATTAATTTGAGGCATTTCGCCTAATTAATTGAGTCATGAGTTATTAAGGTCATCTGTTTTTCATATTATAGCAGTCCACACTGAAGATTGTTCTCACTCTTTTCTTCAAATGGCTTGTTTTTGCTTCTTCTGTGAACACTAAAAAAATAAACCAGGCAAAATAGTAAATCCTCTTAATAGTCATCAGCAAAAGAGTAATTGAATTAATTCTGGCATGTCCTGGTGTGGTGCTGTGGGCTAACGTGTCGGACTGCAAAGCCATTTGAACTGCAGGGTTGGTAGTTCAGGCTCACAAGCTGCTCCTTGGAAACCCTATACAAGGTTGCTGTGGGTCGGAATTGACTCAATGGCTCTTAACAACAACAACAACATATAAGGTTGCTAAGGAACTCTGGTAGTGTTGTTGTTATAGCGACTCTGTATGGTGGTGGTGGTGGTGGTGGTGGTAGTATGCCGTGGAGTCGATTCTGACCCACAGCGACCCTGTGTAGGGTTTCCGAGGAGCAGCTGGTGAGCTTGAATTGCAGACCATGACATTCAAATGGCTTTGCAGTCTGGCGCACTAACCCACAGCGCCACACCAGGACTCTTGGTAGTGTTGTTGTTGAGTGCTGTCAAGTCAATTCTGACCCATCGTGACCCTGGATAGGGTTTCCAAGAAGCAGCTGGTGAGCTTGAACTGCCGACCTTGCAGTTTGGTACATTAAGTACAAATTTGGTACAAAAAAGGCTTTGCTGTCTGGTACATTAACTTACAGAGCCACACCAGTAGTGTACTGGTTACTAATTGGGCTGCTAACCTCAAGGTCAGCAGTTCAAAACTACCCACTGTTCCAGGGGAGAAAGATGAGGCCTTCTGCTCCTGTAAAGATTTACAGCCTAAGAATCTTGTTCAGGTTCGCTATGAGTTAGAACCAACTCCACGGCATACCACTACCACCATCACCACCATACAGAGTCGCTATAAGCCAAATCCTACTCGACAGCACTTAGCAGTCATACAATGTACTATTATGAAATAGTTAAAATGATGGTTGTAAAAGATCTTTTAATGAATGTGGTATTTTAAACAAAAAATATCATATAATATTTCATATTTCCTCAACTATATAAAAATAAGATAGAAAGCAAAAATATCAAAGTAATTAGACACTAGTTTCCTGCTGTTTTATACTTAACGGTTCAATTTTTATATTACTAACATCTATTGTTTTTCATATAGAATGTATATACCCTATAGGGCAAGAATTTTTATATTTTATTGCCTAGAACTGTGCCTTATTCAGAGTAGATGCTTGATAAGTCTTTGTTAAATAAATGAATGATTAATAGAAAATGGTCTGTTTTATAAATATGCACTTTGAATATCCAGGGAGCTTTAACCTATTGAAATTTTAGATGAATGAGACATTTAAACTTAATGTTAAGTGCTATTGACTCATAGTAGCCCTGTATAGGGTTTCCAAGGAGCAGCTGGTAGGTTTGAACTGTTGACCTTGTGGTTTGCAGTCCAGTGCTGATCCTACAGCAACACACCATACTAGGTGTGCTATATTACATTGTGTCTGTGAACTTTAAAGATGACGCTTTTTTTCCCCTTAATGTTGAAATTAAATCGTAAAACAAATTGATTTTCAATATTTGCATTTGATTATTGTTTTTTTTTTAACTTTTACTTAAATTAATAGATTCTTCAATTTGAAGATATCTTGGCCAACACATGCTACCGAGAACACTTTCGAATATACATGGAAAGGATAGACAAGAGAGCACTGATCAGTTTTTGGGAATCTGTGGAATGTTTGAAGAATTCTAACAAGGTAGTACATATATAGGCTCAAAGGAGAATTAATCACTCAGTGTTGAAAACTTGCATGTTAAACAGTATATCTGTGTTCCTGTATGAAGATGTAAGATACATATGAATTTGTCTTTAATATAATATTCCATGACAAATAGATAATTATCTTTAATGTAATTATTACATGAGGGGACTTAAAAAATTTGTGGAAAAATTCCAGTCAACAGCACACAGCTGTAGTGGCCATATAGCCAAGGTACAATCACACACAATAAAATCCCATCATCCAGGCAAGAGCCAATACTAGCTGCTGTACACTAGATAAGATAGTCAACACTTGCTACAGTTATTCTGAGTTGAATAATAAGAAAAGTGAAAAGGGAAATCCATTTCCTGATCACATCTACCTGGAGCAATCAGAAAGCTTAATAATATATCAACATACATTCATCTAATTATTGAAAACACATCTAATTATTGAAGATGCCCAAAAGACAGTCCAAGATTTCGACATATGTCCAGAAACAAGATAGAGTAACTGAAACAAATGAGCCGCAGGTAGACCTAGACTTCCCGTTGGAAGGAGGGCAGGCTTTGGAACTAATTCAGGAGAATGAAATTGAGGTGCATCCAAATGTTCCACAAAGAGATTGAGAAAAATAAGGAAGAAGCAGGAAAGTGCTAAAGAAACAATCAAATAAAGTAGAAATAGCATTGGAAACAATTAGACCTACAAAAAGAGGTCCAAACAATTAATAATAAAATATTAGAAATGGAGAATATACTGAAAGGGCAAAGTTGAACTGAAGAGATGGAGGCTAGAAACCAGCAAGCTGGAAGACAAATCTCTCAGTACTGCTAAGATAAAAGAGCAAACAGAAAAAAGGACAAAAAAAAAATCTGAAGAAAGATTCATGTGGGACAACATGAAGAGGAACAGCTTGAGAATTATTGGAATTCTAAAACAGGAAGAATCACACAAGACCACAGATGAGATAGCTGATGAGCTGTTGGAAGAAAATTTCCCTAACATCGTGAAAAATGAAAAGAAAAGGATTCAAGAAGCTCAACTAACTCCAGGAAGAATAGACCCCAAAAGAAAATCTTAATCAAGCTCTCCAAAATCAAAGATAAGGAGAGAATCCTGAAACTAGCTAAGAAAAAGAGAAATGTTACTTACAGAGGCAAGCAAATCAGATTAAGCTCCTGTCTTTCAGCAGAAACCATCCAGGCAAGAAGGCAATGGGGGAGACATATATAAATCCCTAAAAGAAAAAAAACTTGCCAACCAAGAATCCTCTACCCAGCAAAGCTGTCAATCAAATACAGGGGTGTAATCAAAACATTCCAGATAAACAGAAGCTAAGGGATTTTGCCAAAACCAACTTTGTGCTTCAAAACATCCTAAAAGGAGTTCTGTGGACTGAGAACCAACAAGAACAGACAACAACCATTGATTGAAATGCTTGAAGACACCACTCAGAACTCAGTCAACATATGGAAGAGTCCAGTACAGAACATAACCACAAGAACAAATTCAGAGGAGCTGGGAGGTCAGACTATGATCAAAACAATTAAAATGTGAAAGAAGGTGAAAATATAGGAGTAGAGATCCAGGTAATGAGGAGGTCAGGTAGTTCGCAGGGTAAATTAGACTGTTTTAACTGGAGAAAAAAGTTAATAAAATTTAGGATAACCTCAAAATTAATAAGAGCATGCAATCTTTTTAAGTAGCAGTAATTGGATTCCTTTGGATCTAAAAGCTTGGGTATATTTCTTAGCTTTGTCCATTACATTATGTGTCTTGATTTTTTGACTGTTGAAGACTTTGCCTTGAGCTCCTAGAGTTTATGAGATGTCTCTAGAGAAAGTGTGAAGATTATGTTAATCAGGGTAGATGTTTTAATTTTCAAAATAGGTTGCTCTTGATCTGAGTTAATATTTAAGACTAAACTGTAATATAAGCTTCATTACAATGAAATAAGTAATCATTCTGAAGAATATTTGCTTTTATCAAATAACGTTATTAGATTGGCTTTTCTAGGTGAGCTATTGCACTTCTAATTGTTTACATTAGATTAAAAAGTCTATTTAAATTTAACTGATTAAGTATATCCCCATGGAAGTGACGTACATGAAAAGGAATTCATCAGCAGGAAACCTGTTCTGATTCTAACTTTTTTTTCTTCCAGTGTTTAATTGCAGATGTTAACTGTTCGACATAAAGTGTTCATTTTAAGGAACCGGGTTTTTTTTCTCCTTGGGTCTGACATTTCCCCCTGACTGTGGAAACAAAAGCCCCTTACTGGTGCTGGTACAACCATACTGTCTGAATGGCTTTCTTCCAGCTTTGACATGCAGAGAATTCAGAGGAAAATCATTTCTCAAAGATATGATATTTCTTATGTTTTTCTCTTTCTTCATCTTCCTGTCTTTTCAGAATGAAATTCCACAATTAGTTGGTGAAATTTATCAGAATTTCTTTGTGGAGAGCAAAGAAATATCTGTGGAAAAATCACTTTACAAAGAAATCCAGCAGTGTCTTGTAGGAAATAAAGGTATTGAGGTATTCTGCAAAATCCAGGGAGATGTTTATGAGATCCTAAAGGATAGGTATTACCCTTCATTTATTGTCAGTGACCTGTATGAGAAATTGATGACAAAAGAGGAAGAAAAGCATGGCCCACAGTTGATTTCTGAGAAGGATGAAATGGTGAGTCATTGAACTTTCTGCTCCCTTTGTAGTGGATGTGATTTGAATTTGGAACATCTTTAATGTACCAAACTTGTTATGCTCGAGTAGTATAAAAAACAAACTTGAATTATGTTGTTGCTCTGCTATTAGATACCCTTTTCTTCTTCTTTTCTCTTCTGACTGCCTTGGTACCCACCTGCTAATATTGAGTCAGAGGTCTCACTGCCCTCTGCCTTAGACTTAACCCCAATTTGATTCCTAAGAAGTGAGAGCAGATAATCTGTGGGTGGAACATTTGTGGATTTCTACTGTAGCAATCTTTCCTTACTGGACTCTAGTGCTTTGGAGCAGTATTATAAAGATCTAGAATCTATATCATAAATAGTAACTACTGACTATCCTATCTTTATAAGGTATGGTGACTCATGTGGCCTTTCTCCCCAGGGCCAGAGAGGTGAGGCTGGTGAGGAAGCTGTTGATGAAGGCACCAGACGGATTAATGAGCAAGCCAGTTTTGCTGTAAACAAACTTCGAGAACTAAATGATAAACTTGAATATAAAAGGCAAGCTCTAAATTCTATTCAAAATGCACCAAAACCTGACAAGAAGGTAAACTCTTTTGTTTTCAACGTTGTTGCAAATTTTCATTTGTTAAATTTAATAAACAGTAGGTTTTCAGTTTATGTTGAAAATTTCCATTTCATTACAAAGAATACCTTTCTGATATTTTCTCTCTGGTTTGCCTTAAATACCTTTGGGGAAATAAGGAAACATTTTTTTTGTGGCAAAGTCATTTCTGGAATTAAGTTAGATACTAAAGGACAATCTTCTTCCTTTTTTTTTTTTAATGCCTCAAGTACAATTTAGAAAACCTCACAGAATTATGCAAGAAATATATATGTGTGTGTGTGTGTGTGTATTTTTGGGTTTTTTTGCTGAAAGCCAGTAGTTTTTGAAAGTTTAAAAGTGTAGCAGCCTTTCATTTATCATTATTTCTCAAGTTCAAGATATGTGGTATGGCTTCTTGCCTTGAAGTTCAAGCAGGGAGGTGTAGATGAAGTTCTTGAGTGTGCCAAATTACAAAAGTGGTACAGTATGAATGTATGTTTGAGAGCTTCAAGCAGGTCAACAGGAAATCAAATTTATGAAAGCAGTTTCAGTGATTTACTGAAATAAAAATATCAGTCTTCAACTTTGTATGGAATGACAAGAGGCCCTGATACATAATATTGAAAGAGAACAAAGTAGGAAGACTTCGTCTTCTTGATTTTAAAATATATAATACAGCTTTTAACAACAACAACAAATACAGGTATGGTAATCAAAACAACCTGGTATTGGTATAACATCAGAACACATAGACCAATGGCGTAGAATTGAGAATACAGAAACAAACCAATACATCTATGGTCAATTGAGATTTTTCAAGGGTGCTAAGTCTATTTTGTAGGGACAGAGAGTTATTTTAATAAATGGTGCTGGGAAAATTGGAAAAATAGAAAAATGAAGCAGGTTCCGCATCTCACACAAAAATAAATTCAATGCGGATTAATGACCTAAATGTTTAAACTAAAACCTTAAAATTTTTGTGGGGGGAAAAAAGGCCGATGCTATTATGTCTATCCTTAACAATGGATTATCTAATATAATAACAAAAGCACAAAGAGCAAAAGATTAAAATAAATAAATGGGACTTCATAAAAATTAAAAATTTTTACATCAGAAGACTACCAAAAAGTGAAAAGACAAGCTACTAGCTGGGAGAATACCTTCAGAAACCATATAACTGAAAATTGTATAATAACCAAAATATGCATAAAATTTTGGCAGCTTAACCACATAAGGAAACATAATTCAATTATAAATTAGGCAAAGAAGTTGAATAGATATTTTACCAAAAAAGGACAATCAAATGCCTACTAAACAAATAAACTGTTGCTCAGTGTCATTTGCCATCAGAGAGATGCAAATCAAAACTACAATGAGATACCATTTCACTCCTACTAGGATGGCTAATATTGAAAAAAAAAAACCCAATAACAACCCAGAAAACAACAGATGTTATTTAGCAAGGGTATGGGGACAGTTGGAATTGGAAGTCTTATCCATTGCTGGTGGGAAAGCAAAATGGCACAGCTATTGTGGAAAACAGTGTGGCAATTCCTAAAAATCCTAAAAATCGAGCCACCATATGATCCAGCAATTCCACTCCTAGGTATATATCCAAAAGACTTGAAAGCAGAGACTTCTACACTTAGAGTGTTCATTGCTGCACTATTCACAATGGCCAAAAGGTGGAAGCAGCCTGTTGTTGTTGTCAGGTGCCATCGAGTCG